GTAACAACAGACCATTTATCTTCCATTTTCTTGTACACAGGAGGCTCCAAAGCAAAGAGCAAAGCACAACCAGAGCAGCCCCTGCACTCTTTCATAACCTGAAGTTGCTTGTGTTAATAAGAAGCTTGGAGAAAACTTGCAGAAGCTGTAATTACATCTTAAGTGATACCCGGAATCTTGTATTACACTTTAGCCAAGTTGGTTGCAAGACCAGATGATTATGGGTGCTCACAAGTGTCCAATCATCCAGCTTTGCACCAAGCACAGCTCAGAAAAGTAGCAGACTCTGTCCCTTGGTGTCCCCATCACTAACGTATTCCTGGTCTGTGCACAGGCTCGTTCGGAAGCAGTGAGAGAAGCCACAGAGAGCCAACTGAAGAACGAGCAGCGATTTCAGGGAGTCTGCGCCTACACAAACACACATCTTGTGGGGATTTTTAGGATGCAATCTTGCCCATAATTTTGTGGACAAGGTGGGTGCTCCTTGTTAGTCTGAACATACCCCATGTATCATGGCATATTTTCAAGTCTTTACCATCATTTGTCTTCAGCAATCTTAACGGGAGATGTTGAAATATTATATTGCAATTGTTGTATTAAAGAGAAAAACTAATGAAATTATTCATACTTCCAGGGAAGAAAACAATGAGATGATGTTGTCTTGAATGACCTTTCCTAAGTATGGGGATATAGCATCTTACACAATAGACTCTTGGTTCATGTTTCAATTACTGACCTTTACTGTGGAGAAAATTAATGCAATTTTCATCGTAATCCACCCGTACAAATAAGATCCATACGGAAGGTTTCCACATGCTGAATCTAACTCAAATGGAAAATGTCAGCTGTTTGCTACTGGATGAATTTGACTTTAATTTGTTCAGCTGGAGTCTTTTTGAACTGTGTTCATAAAACTTTGTATATTTTTGGTACCTATTTTTGACAGAGAATTTCCTACATTAGAAACACTGGATTTTTCTTCATTGGGGATTTTTCCCCACTTTTCTTTTTTCCAATACATGATATACTAAACATTTCTTGGAAGCTGCCAAGTAACTTGGCGTAAAACCACCGTGTCATCTGATCCTTCCCTATTACATCCCACTAGTCAAGTAAGGCTATGTTGGCTCACCACCAGATAGAAACCCTCCAAAAAGAAGAAAAAAGGAATCGTTGTTTAGTTAATTTTGTCTCTGATTTTCTTTTCAATCAGTTACCAGACCTGGAAATTGCAGTAATTCAAGTTTTGTCTGTTTTTGAGGAGATGCAAACTTTTATCCAAACAACTTAAGATCGCGAGAAGACTCCAAGACTCTTTCCACCCGGGTGCTACAACATACTCACTCAACAAGGTAACTGTCTGCTCTTGAAGCTCTACAGTTGTTGTCAAAAAAGAAAGAAAAAAAAAGTAAAATAAATAGAAATAGTCAACAATCAGACAACTTCAATTGAGCTGCATGTAACTTGTCTACACCTTTCTACTGGCCAGCAAAAGATGTTTCAGTGATGTAATTTTGAAACAATCCCTATTCAGACAGCCTGACAGACCCCAGAGCTGACACAACGCAGCCCAAACTCCATGTCCAAGATGGCACAAATCCGAGAAGCCATTCATCCACCGAACAGCTTGTGCCAAAGGGACAGAGCTCTCTTATCTTTCACAGTCCTCCATCCTGGTATTTGGGGAGCCGAGAGGGGGGAAGAAGGGGGGAGCTGGCAATTAAGCCCTGTCATTTGAGACATAGTTTAGGTGGAGAGAGTTAATCTGCTCTCGGGTTTTTGAACTGAGCGTCTGTGTATTTATAATTTGTAAACAGTTCATCTCTTAGAGGGTGTGTTACAATTCCCAGAAGCATGGTCTGTTATGTCTAACATGCAGCAGAACCCAGCAGGGCTATGTGTGTGAGTATTTTGATACAGTATGATGACAGGAAACAGAAACAGTGACCTTGTATACCACAACCCAACTAGCAGATTTCAACTGTAGGAGCTCTTGTATTAGGGAGGAAAAAAAAGTACACAGACTTCTTTTTAAAGTATAGTTGTCTGATTAAATGTTGACATTGCCATGAGATAATGTCACAAAACTACATTTTTCTTACACTCCCCAGAGAGCATTGGCCACCCTCAAACTTGGAAAAGTCACTTGCAATAACCTAATGTACTTCGAGATGCAAGTCATCAGAGTGCAAGCATGGTCCACCACCGATGCAAAGGGGATATGCCCAGGAGAGGACAAAGACAGTAAGGCAATGCTGCACAGCACTTGACGTGGGACACATGTAGCATCTGGCAATTCTCTCTCCTGGTAATTCTATATCAGAATTCCACAGACCAATAACACTAGTATATCAATTAATACAAGTTATGAATTATTGTTGCTGCAATGTTGGGATATACAGTGTTGTCCTGATGAGCAAGCCTGCTGGAGGTGTCTACTGTGAGTAACTTTAGCCAGTGCTACCAGCCCTCCATTTCAAAAAGTCCCTCTCATGCATGAAATGGAGACAGAGGCAACATTGCTTACAAAATGGTAGGGTCAAATCAGCAGCAGCTCAACACTGACTCTCCGGAGTTTCCCCAAACCTGCATACTTAGTTAAAAGAAACCAAGAAAGGGAATGACAGTGAAGTTTAGCAGGGGGTGTGGGGCAAATATGCAAAGTGATTAGATCCATGTTTAAGTGACCCAGCTGTATTTATAAAGCAAGACAAAGTCAGTGCAGTTAAATCTAGGGTAGATGTAACCTTCAATATTTTTGGCTTTGCAGCAATGAATCTGCTGCACAGCACAGGAAACAGAGGATTAAATACCCATTTAATACATTTTTACTTTTTTTTTTTCCCCAACTCAGCACTTGCAAATGAAAAAGAGAAATATTAAAAAAGAAGAAAGTAAATAGGATTGGTTCCAGTGAATAAGTTACACCTTTAGGCATCACACAAACAAGATCTAGGGTCAATATTCACAGCTGTCTAGCTTTGGGCACCCACAAAACAGAAATTATCAACTTTGAGAGATACACAGTATTTCTTTGAAAAAGATGCAACTTCCATTTAGCAACTTCTGACGAGTTTCAGATATTGGTCCGTTTCATTGACCAATTTTACGATGCAAAGAGTAAATTATAAACGAGTACATTTAAACAATTAGTGTATGTTGCAAGAAACCTGTAATTCAACTAGATTATCTAAAGTTCACTTTATAACTTTGATGCATTTCTGCTGCTCCTTAAAATATAACCACCACAGAAGAGCAGGTTAAATTTAAATAACTATTCCCATCAATTAGTCTGCTGAGTGTCAATTCTAGTGCCTGTGACTGGGAAGAGCTAAGGTTCGCTTGCTAACTGTGGTATTGATTTACTTCTCAATGATCAACAATCTCACTGTAACACTCTTAAAACATAGAATATTCAAGAAGATGCTTATTAACTTAGTATGCAATTTGAAAGTTTCACATCGCCTTGTGAACATTTTCTTCCTAACAGCTAATGTTCCTTTGCATGCTGTTCCTCGTTAAATAATTCCTCACCTTTTAGCTTTAAAGTATTTATAGATTATCAGATCCTCCTTCACTTACTTATGTTTTTTTCAAGCTGTATACATTAAGTTCTCTTAATCTTTCTTCATATGTCATGCCCTCTAATCCTTTTATCATTTGTCACTGTGGTTTGATAAACTTGAAAAAAAATCCAATGAATTTTTCATAGTGAGAAGAACGAGTAAGTATGCTCCAATAAAATAAGAAACAGGCTCTGCCAATTCCAATTCTTTCTACATTTCAGCCGACGAACTAAAAATCATTTTTCTCCCAAGCTGCGAGAGAAGTGTTGAGAAAATTCTAACCAGTCCTCCACAGATCACACCAATTCTGGCCTACAGAAATGCAAATGCCAAATCATTTGGGGAAAGCCACTAGTGCAGCATGTCATCCAGCATTTGAAATGGAAGTGATGGGGGATTTTACGCACTCCTGCATGTCTTTGCACCTCGTCCACCCATACACATACCTATTAACACACATACATGAACGCGTGCTTGTTACGACTTCAAGCACAAATTGGGGGCTGCTCAGATTCACTTAATGTTCAGAAGTCTTATGTAGGTAACCCCACTGTTGGATGTTACAGAAACCAATCTTTTCACACTTCCAAATTTGCCAACTGAAGAACTTGTAAGAATGGCTTTCCCAGTTAATACTGACAATAAATGAAAATCTCATGGAGATAGGATGGTGTGTTTGTGCTCTGCCATGTTCCTTGTGATTCTAGCAAACACAGTCGTGAGCTACGCTTACCTTATCATCTTCATCCTCATCTTCATCCAAGCCCATAAGCTCCTGCAAAAGCAGGATGTCCATATTACAAAACACAATACTTATTTTTCAGTGACAGGCAATGCTCAAAAAGGTTATGATACTCCCACAACATTTCATTACGTAATTTTCTCCCAACTCTATTGCAAGTCATCAAAAAAACCCCACCACTTCCATCTTTCAGAAACAATGTTTTGTATTCAAGGACGACTTTTTTTTTGTGATACCCTGAACAAAGCATGCAATACCCTATACAAATTTTAAGTCTAAATAAAGCATTAGTGGCTGTGTCCAGTAGTTTGAAGGCAACAGGCTTTCAAATTCATTGCCAACTTTTACTGTCTGTAAACAGCTTTGTTCTCAGTCTGACAAATGAACCAGCCGGTATGTCAAGGCTGAGGACTCAACTCGTTCCATCCTCACTGCTACAATGACTGCTCCCTCCCTTTAGGGCCATTACTGAAACATTAGACTTTAGAAAATACATTAGTATGAACATAATCAATCTCACGAATCACAGTCACATTTCTATGCAGCATTATTTCCTCCCTTTAACTTCTATGCTGACAGGTAGGGGAGAAAACAAAAGGCTTGGCCAAGGCTTGAAATTAGGAGCACTTGGCTTTCAATTCAGGTATTTAATAAGCTGAGCCTTTAACAGGGTCCTTCGAGTTTTTCTTGGTTATTTAATAGGTACATTTGAATCAGTGTACTACAAGTTTAAATACAGCAAACAGGCAAAGAATGTGGAGAACCACAATAAAAGATGTTTTGGATTTGGAAGTTTTGGGAAGTTGGGGGTTGTTTGTTTCTCTCCACTCCTTCCCCCCCCCCCCCAAAAAAAAAGCACTTGCATCTAGTATGCAGAAGGTACTGAGAGCTCAGACATCCAGATTTACGCTTTGGCTCTCTGGAATACCCTGAGCAGCTGAACTAATGCTGATCCTGGTTTACATTTCTATAGAAGTTCCCATCTGTAAATCATAAATGATTTTACCAATATACGAATTTATACCAATATACGAATTTAGCCTCCTGGCAACTGGATCATGCACATAAGGTTAATACTGTTATCCCCATTTTATAGCACAGAAATCGGAGAGAATTTGAGGCCCACTTTTGCAAGGACTGTTGCTTGCATTCCTCTATATACATGGAACGTGCATGCTGGCACACAAAAACCAAAGGCAGCGCGCATGCAGCCAAGGTCTGAAGAAGTGAAAAATAAATGACTACGTAAAAAAACATCGGTATTTTGAAGAATTTTCTCATCTGCAGGACAGATGTGACTAGGGGTAGCACCTGATTGTCTATTTTTGACCTACAGATGTTTGGAATCATAGACACACATAAAACAAAATCAGGTAATATTAAAGGCACTTTGACTACTTGTTCCATATGACCCCAATCCTGCAAAGCACTTAGGCAGATGTGTAACTTTGCTTATGCGAAATGCACCCCTGAATTTCACAGCAATGCAGTGCTTGCAGGAGGCACGCGACAGGAAAAGGGCCAACTTGCTGATGGACCTTTCTTCAGTACTACTACAATTAACTTCTATTTTCAGATGCAGCCCTTGTGTAGCATCCACCTGAACGATGTAATGCTCAATTCTGCTGACTTATGTTAGACTCTCCTCACTTGAGCATGCAACAACTCACCAGAGGATGAGTGATGGGCGCTGGAACGTATTCTCCATGTATTTTTTCCTGGGTAAGTTATTATTTTATATCATCTTTTATATTAAAAACAAAAACACCCGTTTGCCTAGGATTCTACCACATGGAAAATTCCGATTTTCTTGCTGAAATAAAGTAGTTACTGAAGACACACAATATCTTTCTACATTATTCTGGATTTGGCTGAAATTGGAGAATAGCGGTTCTTTTACCATTTGTTTTCCAATCCATTCTATGTCCTGGTCTGGACAATGCAGCCTTCCCTATCTTCTAACAGTCTTTCCACTTAGGAATGGATGCAAACTGAACTAGGAGCAACTTTCTTGCTAAAACTAATAAACCAGCTATTGACTTTCTAATTCTAGGACATTATTTCTTTGTATAAAATCCACTTTATTTGTTTGAGCAAAGGTATTCTTCATGGGTACATGTCAATCGTCTTTTTATCAAAAGTTAGAAAGGAGCTGTAATTTGGCCTGTATTTCATCACTGAACTTGTTACACATTTAAAACCAGAATATTATGGACATCCATGAATTTACTCTCATTTCTAACTGTAATTACCATTGTTATGAAAGTAAAGACAATTGTCAACATGAAACAGCATTTCATACCCCAACAGTCGCACTTTGCCACATATGTTGTAATTATTTTTTTATTTATATGTTTCTTTCTCCCAGATCACGTTAAAAAAACGGAAGGCTACATTTCTGGGGGAAAAAAAACATTTGTCATTTAGAAGTCAGGGGTGGTGAGGAGGAGTAAGGACTACTTAAAGTCTCAGATCACAGGACAAGGTTTAAAAACAACTGAATTCTCTTTCAGCTTCTATTGACTTTTCTCTTCGGTGAATCATGAATCATCAGTGTGATGCACAGTGCAAGAGTGGTAGGGGCATGGGTTCTAGGGCCTTGTTGCTTTGTAAGTGCTTCTTAATTCAACTTAGTTAAAAATGTTTGTAGTTATTTAGCAAATGAAATCCCTCTCCTACACACTCTCACTGTCTTCTACTCTGAATGGTTTCTTGCTTGAATTGAATGATGAAAATGGTGAGGATTGAAGATTCTTTTCAGTAACTTTGAAATAAAAATGCTGTTTAGCTACACAACTAGCTTAATACCATTAAAATGCCTGACATTTTGCTCAAGGGCAAATTCAAGTTGGGGCTGCCAGAAATATTACTGCCACTTTACTCGCCTGGGCATCTTGGGCATTGTTGACCTTCCCTGTTGTGACGAGGGAGAAGTTGTAAGCAAAGAGCACCAGCAGAGCCAGGGGCACCATGTACAGTTCCACGCTCCAGACGGTGACCACAAATACCTGCGAGAAATAAAGCAGCAGAAGGCAATACATACTAGTGTTTAAAGAGAAAGACATACAAGAAAGCCTTTCAGTCATTATCCCTATGTACCTCATCCTTGAATCTCTGTTAACCTCATTCATATTATTATTTTGGCAAAGAAAATCCGCTCGCAAAGCGTGCTCTCCCTCTATTCTGTTTGAATCCATTAGGCTGCCACTTGCTAGCTTCTCCGCCCTTGTATCTGGTGAAGTACAAGGCTATGAACACAAGGTTAGTCTGATGGCTTTATTCACTCCTGCCCGGGACCCCCTCAAGCCTGAAAGCCCTTTGTCCTTAGTGCTAGTGCATAGCAGACCCACTTATAGAGGTAAACATGCTCCACTTCATCAAACTCTAATTGCCAGGGGTTCTTTCACAAGCTAGAGGAGACTTTTCTCCTCTTGCGCAACAGGAGCCACCCAGCTCCCTCGTCACTTTACAGGGGACGATCAGCAAATGCAACTTCACCATTAATCCTGCTATGTTCTTGGCATAGCAGCACAGAGAAAGGACCATCACCATCCAGGTGGCAAGGGTCTAGTTGCAAGTGATGCATTATTTTGGATCCAGTAAGCCTAGTCTGCATTCCCATATCCTTGCCATTTTTCAGCACAGCATATTCTGATTTCACTGGCTGCTTGGAGTCTCTCTGTCCAGAAATGGTATGAGTTTGTGCGTTTGGAGTGGTATCCGCCAAAATGCACTAATAGCAAAACCAGAAGCCAAATTCTGAAGTTCTGTTCTGCAAATTGGATCAGCAAAACATGTAACTAATACGATAGGGATTTAAAAAGCACTTAGAATTTAAAAAAAAACCCCACAACACAGTACCAAGCCAAACTGCAATCCTTACAAGTACCAACGATACCTGAACAGGCTCCAAACTTGGAGTGGTTGGCAATGCAAAGTTAACAAACTAAATCCAGAACTCCCATAAAATGCATGTTGTGATCCCATTTCCTTTTCTACTCATACATAGCATTTCCAGAATAACTGCCTAATGCTGGTAGTAACTTGAAGCTATTTTAAACGATCTCCTTTAAAAAAAAGCCACAAACACGTTTATCTAATTTTTCATCCCCTAAAGGAACCTGGAATGATCAGAGACAAAAAAAAAAATCACACTTCTAGAATAATACAGATCGGTGAAAATGAGCCAGATCCAGTTAATGTATCTCAAGCCGCAACAAAGGGAAAACTCTATGGGTGATCACAGAAAGCTAAATCTCTACCGCCCTTCACCCTTGGCATGTCAGACACGACATATAAAGGCAACGCCGGTGCTTGCAGAATGGGATATTTATGGCAATGTATTTTGCGTTACGGACCCGAAAGTCTAACCACACTGTACCAAAGAAGCACTTCCCACTGCATTCAGCAGGGTGAGAATTTATACCCCTACAAAACAGCAGCTGTCGTAACTTTTAAACAAAAAGACTTGTCTGACATCAGACAAATGGCCAGTTAATATCTACCAGGGGCCAAACATAAACCAAGAAACAATGAGAGTATCCATAACCCTGCCCAAACTGCAGCTGCATCTTCTAGAGTGAACCTGATTTTATGTTAGCTGTTGCTATGCAAGGAATTAGACTGTGATTCTGTTCTTGGCATTTGTAGGCCAGTAAAACAATCTTTGAGATATATTTATAAAATGGGCTGACATCCAGACACTATATCCTTATACTATTGATTTGCAGCATCAGAACATAGAAGAGGATTTGGTTTTGATTTTTTTCTTCTTTTTGATCCTGCTTTTCAGCATACTAAAAACATTAGAAGTGATAATGATTCCAACAGCCACGCTTCTTCTGCAAGCAAGACAACCGAAACACAAGAATCCTGGCCAAGAAGGCACGGTACTTGATCTGTCTCATAGGAGGTCTTGCATGGCTATAGTTAATAAAGACTTCTAAAATTGTGATATTCCAAGCTAAAACGTCTTCCATGAATGAAAAGTTCTAACCCGAACAAGTTCCTCTGAAGCTACTCCAGCTTCCTTGGATAAATCTCTACTTGCTTTGTAAGACAAAATGAAGGTGATACCAGCTCCTGTCCTACCTCAAACGTCCCTCTAAAGAATAAGGACCTGTTATTGCACATATCAATACAGATATCTATCTCACGTATATCTAAACAGATAAAAATAGACATGCACATTTAATATAAATATACATCTGATCCTTACGTAAACTCCTTCACAGAAATTCATATTGCCATGTATTTATTCAAAACGTTTTCTCCAGCCTGTTGGAGGAGGTTGCATTCACATCATGTCCCTGGGGTATTAGCAAAATCCGTTTTCTCTTAATGCAGCAAAAAGGCTCCACTGGCAGTCAGCTACGCAAAGTCCTATAGGAGTCAATGAAGCTCTTGAAGAACCTCTCTTCATTCATTCAACTGCAGGACTTGAACCAATTTTAGTGCATCTGTCACCATCCTATATGAACATCACTCTGCTCAGTTGCAAGTATAATACAACCTTGCAATCACAGGTCATTTAGGCAAGATACAAAATTAAGACCTTGGTGATTTTAGATCCAACAGTACATTTTGTGTATTATTAAGTTTCAGACCCTAAATAAAACTTCAAACTTAATTACAAAATCTCACTGTAGTCTCAACTGATAGCTGAGGCATAACGTCGCTTCCTTTCTAATGCTGACTGGCTAATCATTTGCTGAGTTATAACTCAGACAGCGATGCTTTTATAGAGCTCCCACACCTCCTTAAGAAGAGTTGCTTTACTGCTACCGCCGCAGTAGAGGGAACTTTTATTACTATGACACAACACAGACACAAAGCAAATTGATTTAGCCATTCAGAAATTATTTAGCCTCAGAGGTATGGGAAATGATTGCTGTGAACATACAGTACATAATAAAAGTTCAGAGGGTGTTTATAAAGCAAAAAAATTTCTGCATCCTAACAGCCTTCTAGTAAGTCTGCAGCATCAGCTTTCAAAGCAGTTCCCAAATAGGCCCATGTCCTATTTATCAACTCTCACGCAGCTCCCTGACACTGCCTACAGGATCAGCAGACCTGTGCTATAGACACCCGCTCCCCTAATTGCAAGGTTCTCAATCATGCATGTATTTATTTTCTCCCGTGTGACACCTTATGCCTGAGAGAAGCTCCAGCATTATCCTCCCTAAATTATTTTCTTAGCAATACCTTTTGCCAAAACTCAAGAATGGCTTAGCCCCCACTGTACACAATGGCTATTGCAAGGAACAGTATCTTCTCGATTCTTGGTAGTCCCTAGTCTGTCTTTTGCCTGATAGATAGGTTGGTAAATGAAATCATTAACAGGTTCAGATCACTTGCTCAGTATCACAGAAGTCAGGGACAGAATCCAAGCTCTCGTTCCAAGTGATCCAGTTTTAACAAACCATACTTCTTTCAATGTTTCATTGAAATATCATCATTAGACCAGGTTGTCAGACATAATCCACTGCATCATTGACACCTTTTCTGCTGGGCTTCATACTGTGCATCAGAGAAGTTAAAAGGACAGTAGCCAAAAATATAAGTCCAACAAGTGGAAGCTAGCTTTCTGCATTACTTCTTTTAATGCAATTTGAGAGTATAAAAGCCTGTTATAGAACTGAGCAATTTAATTCACATCATTATAAAACAATGATCAAAATAGAAACAGAAATGAGATAGACACAGCTAGGAAAAAAAAAAAAGAGCTCTTGAAACTAATATTTAGACTGGAGTTCTACCTAGAAGAGAACAGCAATATCACAGCCTTGGAGAAAGGACCACTTGATTTCAGCTGATTAATGTGTTGCTATTTCAAAGAGCCTAATAACTACAAGTTAAAGCTCTGGAGGTTTGGAAGCCGTTTAATCTGAAAATCATTGAAGAGGGGTCCAACTGTTCCTGTCAAGAAGCATGGAGTTTGAACAACCATGAGAGTGGCCCTTTTGACAGCAGTACAAAAGATGAGAGAAGGCAGCCTCAACTGAAAGTAAAAACAAACCCTCAGAAACACATTTCAAATCTGGTTTTTCTGCCCCTCTGGTTCCAATTTAGGATCTGACTATTAAGAACAGATTTTAGACGGGTGTCTACTAAAGTATGCCCATAAAACATTTGTCACCAGCAAACCTCCAGTCATGGGATAGAACAGTTTTAAGAGGTTTAGAAACCTAGCATTAGAGAGGATTTTCTGTGTAATTCTTCTATGCAGTAATTATAATTTTTTTTAGCTCTAAAAACCAGGCTCTTTTTGACCTGCTAAATCTTCATGGAGAAGTAAAAGATGCTGTGTTGTGAGACAGAATAGTTCTTGGAAAACAACAGTGATGGAAAAGGAGTGGGATACATTCCATCAGATGGAAAAAATACAAGTGAAAGGAGATGAAATGCATGCAAGGAACCCATGGTAAAAGGTTATTTTCTTAGCCATTGTAGGCTCCAATGCTAATGAAATGCCTCATCAGCAGACCTGTGAAAAATATTATTCAGAACTCCAAGTTTCAAAACCACACACTATTTAACTGAACTCTCAGCTACTAACAGCTTCATCAAAAGTTTCCTTGCAATTTATAAACACGGTCTATGCAATTCATGAAGTCAGAAGAAAAACTTGAGCTGATACTGCTGTGAATGTCCAAGTCATGTTTTGAACTAAACCAAAACACAGATTTTGATTTGAGACACAAAGATGTGTTCCCCTTCATTGACAGAGAAAAGGAGTTACATACTTTTAACTTATTTCTAGGTTATGCAGCCTCAAGTTGCCATGTACGCACAAATGCACTCTGTAAAAGACGAGAAATGTCTGCAGCTAAATAATCAGGGACAAACTCTCTAGCAATTTTTTTGAAGCTTTCAGTCATTCGGTCTCAAACAAAATACAGGATATTAGCCAATAACATAAGATACTGGCTCCCCAAAAGGGCATTTGAATCCCTCGGAGGCAATAAGCCTGTCGACAACAAATTATTTCTGACAGATACTTATTCCT